TGGGGGGGGGGGGGGGGGGGGAGAGAGGAAGGGGAAGAGACCTCAGGTCCAGGGGCTGGATACAGCCCCCCAGCTTGCCTGGGTCCAGCCCCCAAGGGTCCATCTCCCTTCCTAGCATTGGGGAGCCCGGACCTACTAAGGAACTGGAGCAGACAAAGTCGAGCTTGGACCTCACTAGGCTCTGGTGTGTGAGAGGACCGTGGGGATTGTCTTTCTTCTCAGTCAGGGGCCACGCCAATGAGGTCTTGGGGTTTTTTTGGGCTTCTCACTTGTGTGCGGCCCCCGACTGATTTTTTCTGTGGGTCAGTGGCCCCCGACCCTGCTTTAGAAGAAGGAGTAAGGAACAGTGAATTATTATGGAATATCTTGCCTATACAAAAATATTCATTCTAACTTGTATCATAATTAGGAGTCTCATGGCTGTCATATCTGAGCATCGGCAATTAAATCCCACTGCAAAACCTGCAAAACCATAGAGGGTCTTGCTGCAGTTTGCATAAATGGTTGGTTTGATTCTGTGCATTACACTGGGGCTGCCTAGTACTGTGAAACATATGACACTGCATACTTTCCACCTCACTTCATCAATGGCACTAATGTCTCTCCTTGAGAAGCACTAAAGACCTAAATGAACATCCACCCCAGAGTTGTGAAGGTGACACATGCCCTCCCTATCCAGGGGAAAAAGTCACGAGCAACTGCTGTCACTTAACAATGGAAATAGTCAACACTTAATTTAGGGAAGGAACCTTCTTTTCCTGATGGGCAGTCAAGAGACCGACATTCAAGAAACCCACCCTCTTAATAGCTTGGTTCTAGCCAACTACTGCTCAGTATAAACCCTTCTGTTATGTAGCAACTCACAGAAAAGCTTGGCACATGCTGACTACAAATTCTTCTAATTGAAGCTACTATACTAGACCAGACATAATTGGATTCAGGCCAAGATATGGCATGGAAACAGCTTTTTTGCCACTGATGACACAGCTCTCAATGAGGCAGATAGCTGTTCTCATCCTCCTTGACCTCTCTGCAACATTTGACACTGCTGACCATAAGATACAGCTCTCTCTCTCCTGAGAAAGGTGGCAGGAGTCAGGTGTTACAGTATTCAAGACTTTGTGAGAGGAACAGACCCAGTGAGTAGTGATGGGAAACGGCACCTCTGCCATAAACCCCTCCCTCACCTGTGAAGTCCCACAAAGCTCAGTTCTCTCGCCAGTTCTTTTCAGCATTTACATGCAGCAGTTATGTGAAAGAGCCAAACAGCATTTGTGAATGATGTCACAAGTATGGATTCAGATGCCACCAATATGCAGAAGATGCACAGTTGTACCTGTCCTTCACCACAGATGTCCACTAGGATGCCCAAAGCATGGATGAGATCAGCTCATAGATAAAGAATAACAAGCTGACGCTGAGTAATGCAGACGTTATGCTGATGTGCAGAAGAAAATCTCTCCAACCAAGTTTCCTTGGTTGAAGTCATGTGCCCACAATTGATCTCTTCAGTCGATAGTTTAGTAGCACTCTTGGATTCTTTGCTGACATGAAACTCTCACATAGCAGCTTTTACGAATTAGCACTCTGTCATCTCCAGTTGCCTAGGAACCTCTTTTCCCTCCTGGTGGATGAAGACCTGGTCTCAATTACTCACACTTTTTGTCACCCGTTGGCTGGACTACAGTAATGTGATCTACCTGGGCAGGACGCCATCAGCCCTTAGGAAACTCCAGTTAATACAGAATGGAGTAGTGCATCTACTCAGTAACCTGGACCACTGTGAGGGCATTACCCATCCTTTGCTCTCTGTACTGGCTTCCCAAAAGTTGTTGAGTCAAATTTAAGTCTTGGTCCTTACCACCTGGGTAAGGAAACAACCTTCGTAACCTCCTCACTGATTAGCAGGCTTCCTTCTCTGGCCTGACATTCTTTAATAGAAAAACAGAGTGTGCATACTTAAAACACAAATCAAACAGCTTTGCAACAAGCAAATGCACCTGGAACAGAACCTTCCTGAAGGCTACAAAAACACATGCAGTTCACCACCAGCGGAGAGATAGAGAGTGTGGGTGGCCCGCCCATAATGGACCTTAGTCGTGTTGGGTAACGGACTGACAGAAGGTGCTCAGATGCTACAGTGAAAAGGGCAGGATATATACTAGTATGGAACAGAATTCTCTTTTGCACCAAAACGTTGTCCCCTTCTGAATGATGGCTTCTCTCACTGCTTGACACTGATGTGTATTATGGTTTTTTTCTTTTCTCGTGGGTGGCCCGCCCATAATGGACCTTAGTCGTGTTGGGTAACGGACTGACAGAAGGTGCTCAGATGCTACAGTGAAAAGGGCAGGATATATACTAGTATGGAACAGAATTCTCTTTTGCACCAAAACGTTGTCCCCTTCTGAATGATGGCTTCTCTCACTGCTTGACACTGATGTGTATTATGGTTTTTTTCTTTTCTCAG